GGACAAGACGCCTCCTCCCCATGCTGGCTGAGATCTTTCCTCTCGGCCTCCACACCCTCTGGGGCTTCTCGCGGGTCTGCTGTGCGTGTGTTCGTCTCATTTGCCATGGGAAGTTGCAGAGTGCAAGACTTCCTGGGTTTATCTTGTTTGGAAAACTCTCAGCATATCCCCGGCACTGTGTAAATAGTAAATGTGTGATTTATAAATACATACACAAAGCTAATAAGCCACTGAGATGATAATCTGTGGTTAGTTGCTTAGCTCTGGGAGGAAGATGCGAAGGCTGACAGGGGCAATGTGAAAGCCCTTTTATCTGAAATTCTCTGTTCATTGCAGAAGTGCTACACGTCCTGTCAGAGGAAGGGGAACATGTCCTTTCTTGCTGCCTCAGTTTCCCCATTAGCAAAAGAGGAGCAGAGCCAGAGGCTGTGCATCCTGGAGAGGAGAAGAGTGCTTGTGCCTGTCCCCCAAAATGCTTTGATGCCTTCCTTTTGCTCTGCTTATGCCAGCTACAGCCCTGTGGTGCATTTGGGCAGAGGGCTCTGGGGGAAGCGGTTGGCCCCCTCTGCCCGTAGATTGCTGTGACAGCCAAGGTGGTTTTGACCACCACGGGTGCATGCTGGAGAGTGGCTTGTCATGGGCTCTGGCACAAAAAGCTCCATTGAGAGGCTGTGGTGGGGAATGCAAACAATCTTCTCCACTTCCTCCCAAGAGGAGTTCTGCTCATTCCCAGAATGGTGCATGCCAGGGCAGTCCTGATTCACAGGATTTCCCTCTGTTGTTGTCTTTGCAGTCTCGATGCTGGTCAGGATTCATTAAGAAAGAAAAAGAGGAGGATGTTTCTGCTGAGAAGCTCCAGCTGAGCAGGATGGGTTTGGGAAGCATCAAATGTGTTCCCATGGGCCCTGCATCTCAGCTGCTTCATCTCATCTTCCCTCTGTGTCTCTCTGTTAGACCACTGTCCCATTGGTCCCTGTTGTGTTGCACACATCGTGTTGTCAAGTTGTAGTTCATCATGGCTAGGAGGGCAGCAAAGCAGCTCACAGCTTGTTTTACCAAGCTGCCCCTGGTCCACCACTGAGAGCTGTGTGAGTCCCACAGCCAGCTGCTGTGGTCCCTCTGCTGTGGCTTTGCAGGGCTATGGGTAAATTCCGTGTTATTTCTGGCCTCATTATGTATCACCATGGCTCCTCTCCAGCTTGGGGGCTTTACGTTGTAAGCCATGCTGTGCTTGGCTGGCATGCTGTGCTGTGCAGAGATTGCAGAGGATCCAGCCCCTCAGTGGAGCTGGATGCTCCGAGCCAGTGCTGGTTGAGGTGCAGCATCACAACCTCTCCATCATGTGTGCTTCACCCTTGTGCTGTCACCCAACCCAAAAAGCAGCATACTTCGGAGAAGCAGGGTGGTGTAGTGGTAGGACAGCATCTCTAAGTACCAATTCTAGCCAATGATCGCAGTCATGTTGATGGGAAGGGATCTTTGGAGGTGTCTAGTCCAGTGTCTCACTCAGAAAAAGACCATCCTCAGCAGCATGCCACATCAGCTGTGGCTTTGTCAACAGAACCCTGACAACCTCCAAGGATGGAGATCCTCCCTTTTGGTGGGTACCTGTCCCAACGCTGCACCACCTTCCTGGAGGGTAAGTTTTCCTCCATGTCCGGCCCAAACCTCCCAAGCTGCAGCCCCTGGCTGCTGGTCCTTGTTCTGCCCATGCCACCAAATGATGTCCACCCAGCAGGGCTGGCCCTCCAGTGCAGGCACCATCGTGGTCATCGATCCTATATGTTACCAGTGACATGATGACCAGGAGGGTGAGCAAACCTCCCTCCCATCCTTGCTTGAGGGAGCTCTGAGGCTCTGGGTGGGTTAGTGCTTGTCCTGCCCATACCCTTGGCTCCAGTAAGAGCCTCAGCAAATCCGTCTGGGGGAAACACCTCCTCCAAAGCTGTGCTTTGGGTTTCTCCTTTGTCAGGGGCCTTAAATTACTGCCTTGGAAAGGAGCATTGCTTTCAAAGACCTGTCTTCCAGGAATGACTCCCTCAGCCCTTCTGGATGAGTGCCAATGTGTTCACACTGTGTTTAAGGACAAATAGGAAATAATTCAAGGTGCCTTTTCCCCCCTTTCTAGCTTAGTCCTGCTGCCAGCAGCTACAGACAAGCTCTTGGTCACTGTCCTGAGAAGCAGAGCTGGGCACCCCAAAGCTTCCCCTCGCTCTCAAACCTTCAGAGAGGCCAGGCACTGGGACAAGAGCCAGACCAGACAGTCAGGATTGCGAGTCCATTGCTGCAATGAGTCTTTCCATACAAGGCTGGTGGTGTGGCGTCTCCAGTGTCTCTGCCGAGCAGATCCCCAGGTGTAAGGCCAGGAGAGTCAATGGCCTTTTGTGGCCTGTCAGGAAAGGGGAAGAGAAAATATCTTTACTTTATGCAATGTAAGAAATTAGAGGAGAACTTGAGTAAGGTGCTGGGACTCTTACTTTAGCTCTGTTATCTGTAACTATCAATCCAATCATCTGCCTAGTCATCCATCCATACATCCACCATCCATCCATCCATCCATCCATCCGTCTGTCCATCTCCACAGCCAATCGAACAGCCAACCATTCCCCCAACCCCCTGCTGTTCACTGGTCCTTCCATCCCTCCCTCCCTCCACCAACCCACCCATCCATCCACCCATCCCTCCATCCACATACGCCACCAGCCAGCTGCTTGTTCTCTTATCCCTCCATCCTCTTACACGTCTCTGCATCCCCGCATAAGCCCATCCATCCATCCACTTGCATAGTCATCAATCCTCTCATCGTCATACACTTTCATCTATCCCATCTGTGCCCATCCAGCCAGCTGTCTGTCTGCCTGCGATCATACGCATCCATTCTTCCGTCCACCCATCCATCTTCCTCTGCCTATCTGCATGTTTGTCTTGGCCCATTCCAGCCACACCTCCTCACACAGATGCCTCAGTTTACATGTCCTCCCCTCTTTCTTCCAAGACTCTAAGCTTTTTAAAGACATCTAGCAGATGATGTATAGAGAAGGAGAAAAGAGCAGGACAAGCATGGAGGGGGCTTCTCCTGTACCCCCGCCCCACCACTGCCAGCTGCCTGCAGCCTCCCTGGCGTCACTGCACAGCTCAGCCCTGGATAGTGTCTTCTGCTACGGATTAATTTAATCACTATTTCCCCCAAAACGTTGAGATCCACAGCATCTGATGGACATGGGTTTCTGTAATTTAATCACATTTTGTGTGAAAAAGCACTTTCTTTTGCTTGTTTTCATTTGCTGCCCCTTAATTATTTTATGAGGAGAAAGAGCAAGCAGTCCTTCTCTATTTGTCCTCTCCATGTCACTCATCACTGCTTTGGTGTCTGTCACGTCTCCGCTCGGTTGTCTCCTTTTACGGATGAAGGGATCGAGTTTGTTAAGCCATCCTTATGTGGGGGCTGTTTCCAGCCTTTGCTCTTTCATATTTCCTCTCTGTTCTCAGTTTTCAGCTGAACTGTTCTCCTAATGGCACAGGGACAGATTTTTAGGGTACAGCGCTTTCTATTTTCTTCTCAATCCCTTTCTGAATAATTCCCAGTGCCAGGTTTGCGTTTTCAGTCACCACTGAGCTGATGTTTTCAGGGAAATGAGCGTGATAACTCCAAGATTTGTTTCCATGGAGGCTGTAGCTCATTTGCAGCTGTGAGTGCTAGGGGAAGCAAGGCTTGACTTCCCTCTGTGCATTTATCGACATGGTGTTACTGCCTGGTGGCACTGTACCATGATGTCCTTCTGCAGCACTTCTGTCTCTTCTGACTGCCTCAACCCCCTTTTCCCCATGAGTTACGAGGGTGTTGGGCAGCTCTGATCCAGCCCTGATCTCTGCCGAACTTCACTGGTGACATCTTCTACCGCCACGTCCAACCGCTTGTTCTCACCCTTGGTCTCCTGACCTTTAGCTGCTATAAATCCTTGCTAGGACTTTCCTCCTGTGTCAGGGCTGCTTGGTTTCCTTGGGAGGCACCTTGTCAAAAGCGTTTTTAAAACCCAGGAATATTTTGAGAACTGAGCAGCCCTTGTCTGTGCACAGAGGCTTGATGAAGCCTGGAAGGAACCTCATCCTCTGCTCATCCCCCTGTCCTGCTTCACCCTGTGTCATGCACACGCACGCATACACACATGGTTTTATCCTTGCCACACACAGCTCAGCACAGTCAGTGTAGCAACACAGGAAAGATTCAATTGCTAAAGATCATTAATGAATGTCAGTTCCAGCTCCTGTCCAGAAACCTGAGAAAATTCAATTAGGCAGCTGGTGCCCAATGAGCTGTACTGCCCAACTCACAAGATGCTAAATCAAACAGCTTAGCAAGGCACCGTGTTATTGTGGAGAGGGAAGAAAAGCCAGGCACGGAGACAAACAGCATAGCATGCACTGAGCAGCTGCCCCTTTCCAAACCACGGCACAGTTAGGTTGCAATCCTCCCACCTTATTTTCTAGGCAAGGGCAGCTGGCTGCTTCCCACCTCCACTAGTAAATGACTTGAGTTTGCTGGTGACAGAGCCCCAGGATCTGTCACCTCTCTGCTGGGAATTACTGATGTGTGCATTTGGTCTGAATGTTGCAACAAGACACGTAGACACAGGAGTGGCAGTGACTTGCTGGTATGAGCATCTGGCTGTGCTCTGGGGTATTTGGCAGGTGAGCCATACATGCGTCCCTGACATGTGTCCTCCGAGGTAAAGGTCATAGAAAAGCATCCTGTGAGATGGAGGTATGGAGGCGGTCCATGAGTCCCACGGCCCATCCCAGTTGATCCACTCTGGTCTAAGGTTATAATAAATCATTATCAGAGCCAGGAGGAGAACTTCAGCTTCCCTGGCCCCAGTCACAGTGTCATGCCCAAGCCGTTACCTCACTTCCCATACAGGTGATGATAAGGTGTTATTTCCAAGGTGGCCCTGCCCACAGGGTTCTGAGCTCACCTGTTTTTCTCCTCTTGCTCTCCACAGTCAGCCACATCCAGTATGAGCGAGTAGGTGCAGACGTGACCATGAAGTGTGGCTCCATGGACTGGGATGCAGCCGTGACCTGGACGGCCAATGGCACCGACATCGACGAGTCACACCTGAACGGGTCCTACCTGATCCTGAAGAACGTCGACCTGACGCAGAGTGGCCAGTACTCCTGCTATGAGGGCTCCTCCTGGCACCTCAAATACCAGACCTACCTGAGGGTGGGAAGTGAGTACCCTGGCATGTGGCATTGAGGGGGACAGAGCCACCCTGTCTGCTCTCATTTTGACCCCTCACAGCCCCCTCTTGCCAGCCCCTCTATTGTCCATACATGTTGTCTGTACCCTGTTGCACCCCACCATATGAGCTCCCTGTGTCATACTAATCCCAGCAGCAGGATGCTAAGATGAATCAGACCTTCCTGCCCCAAACTTTACATCAAAGACAGTAGATTAAGTGATGCCCCAGGGATAATTTGGGAAAGCATGTTGCTTCTCCATTCAGCCTAGTGCTACATCTCTCCATGTGGAATGGGTTGGGGCTGAGCTGTCAGAGGCGACTGCAGCCAGGAGGGAGAAATCCTGTCCAGGGTTACTGCCACATGGTTGTTTCAGAGGAGCAGCCAAAAGGTGGTGGCAATTGCTCTGTGTTTGCAGAGCCCCTGTGTACGGGTGTGTTCGAGAACAGCTGTGTGTTTCCCAGGATTTTGCATATCTTAAGCAGGAGATGCTCTGATTCACAGGACTCGGTGCGGGAGATAAGAGCTGTGTTATATTTCACACGATGCTGAGAGGTGATAGCAGCTGTGTGTTTGGTGTGCTGCTGTATTTGTACAGCTAATAGCAACTGTGTGTTTCACAGTACGATGTCTGCAACCGGCAGCAGTGGGTGTCGGGGAGCACCAGCTGGTGTAGCTGACTGCGGGATGATGACTGCTGTGGAGGATGCTGCGAGGCACTGCCAGCTGGGGATGTGTTGTGTAGGTGGCCCAAATGTTCCCAAGTTTGGGAAGCACGGCAGAGCCTTTCTCTGTTCCTTGTCTTACCTTCAGTGCCCTGCATCAGAGCCAGGGTGATGTGTCCATCCTAGACTGTGGTCCAGGGGCAAAGGGTCACAAGAGGACCAGCCATGACCTCCATAAGCCCTGCAAATCAGACAGGAGGAGCTCACTGCACCTGTAGGTCACCCTGAAGAAGTCCAAGTTTTAGGGGTGCAGCACAGCATCCAACTCATCGTTTAGGGTCTGCTGGGAGGGATCCTGGCATGTGGGCCAAGAGGAGGGGATGCTGGAAGATGCTGAAAGGCAACTTCAGCAACTTCTCAGGCAAGAAGCTGAGAAACAGGTGAGTGGCAAGCAGGCAGCACAGGGCATGGGGTACGGCAGCGAGTAGGTGGGAGCATACCAGACAAAAAAGCAGTAGCAGATGAATCGGACCTCTCAACCATGCTGTCAGGGTGAGGAGGTGTTCACAAGGCATTCAGCGGCAGGAGCTGGGTGCAGTGCAGGAAGGGGCTCTGCATCTCCTCTGCTTGGGCACAAACTCACCAGATCCCATCTGAGGAGAGGCCCCAGGCTGTGCCAGTGCATGGGGGGCTTTAGCCCAGGTCTGGAGGAAGCAAAGGGACTAGGGAGGGACCCTCCCACCAAACCACCCAAACCACCTCCTCTGCAGCTGTGGCATCACCGTGACTTTGCAATGGCTCTTCCATCTGCTAAGCACCTCACTAATAGTAATCCCTGTCAATCCGCTCGGGGACCCGTAGGAATTGCTCAGCGTTAGAGCCCAAATCCTGCTGTTTCCTATTACTGTGTGTTCCTATTTGCTGGCAGCTCACAGCGCATTGAGTACCGGGCAGCTGAGGGGTCTGGTCAGACACCGTAGGGGCCACCAGCTCCAGGAGGAAAGGCAGCAAATAAGTAAGCAAGTGCCTGGTGGTGTTAATGCAATTATGTATGCAAGAAACTAATCAGGTGAGACGCTTTTAGTGGTAATTAATTTAATTGCTTAGATTCTAATTTAATGTTTTCTATGAGGTTTCTTCTCACAGTGCTGCCACCCCTAGCCCCTGCCTGCACCCTCCACAACTTTCCTGCCTCTGTGGGGCACGATTGACTCCCTGGAGGTGCATGGGCTGCTGCAGAGGAGTGGGTTTGGGAGCATCCCAGGAGGAGATGGAGATGGAGATGGAGTTGGAGATGGAGATGGGTGGCTTACGGGAGGTTTGCAGCATGGCCCTGTGGTAGCGTCCTTGCTGCAACTGAGTGCACTGGGAGCCCAAACCCGGGATTTGAGGGATCTTGGACTCATTTCATTTCAATTGCATGGGAAGTTAAATGAAAACAGGCCCGTGCCTGTTTTCCCCTCTTACTGGGGCAACAAGAAAAATGATGGCAGCGGGAGTGAGGGGCTGGGGGCTGCACACAGAGAAGTGCTGGGGATCTCATTAAATAAATGACGGTACCTGGAGCGTGCCCCAGAAGCGAGGCAGGGGCACTGCCGGGCAGGAAGGATGTGGAGAGGGAGCAGAGAAGTGGTGAGGACCAGAAAAGGGTGTCAATTAGCAAAGCGAGCTCTGCTGGGGGGGTCAGTGAGCGCAGGGATGAAGGGAGACCTGCCAGGAGTCAAGCTGAGCGAGACCTTGCAGAGGAAATGAAAACGGGGGTTAGCTATATAAGTACAGAGCAAATGAGGAGAGAAGAGCGGAGCTGGCGATGCAGGCAGGTTTCAGGGGAGATTAAAGGTAAGCTCAGCAGAGCCCGGTACCGAATGAACCCTGATGGGTCTGTGCTGAGAGCAAGGACAGCACAGGCTGGGAGAGAGGAGGGAAGATAAAACTTGGAGATGGTCCTGTACTGTGTAGGCACCTTCAAAGAAAATTATGTACTGGAGGCCTGGGGAGCACCTTGTCCCCAGGTGAGGGCATCTGTTCATTAGCAAGGCTCATTAGCGACTGAGAGGTGAATGGTGGTACCCAGTGCTGTGGGGAGAAGCGATGTGCCTTTCTGTGCTTGAGAGGAGGAAAAATCCCAGTCAAACAGCCTGACCCCGCAGCACAGTGGCGGCATGGGGCGCTCTTGGAAGAGGGAGCAATTAGAGACATGGAGACAAATGGAAAATGGGAGAAAAATATAAGGGGTCTTGCCAGGGATATATCACGCCAGATTAACCTGATAGCTCTCTTTGATAAGAGAACTGATTTCCTAAGCCCAGAAATGTGGTCGGTGTAATCTGTCTTGACTTCAGTGAAGTATTTGCTATGATGCCACATGGGAAATTATGAGTTAAACCAGAGAAAATGTGGATTAGTTTGAGAGTTGGAACATGGCTTAGGAAATGGCTAAAGGGGATCAGCTTGTGCTGAAAGGGGAGCTGCTGGGAGCGATGGGGGAGCTTCAACATCGGCCTTTGGACTGCTCACGGTGGTGTTTCCCATAACAGCTCTGGCCCAGAAAGAGCAGGGAGCTCCAGTGGTACATGCCAGTGGCTGCAGAGGGACCCTGGGATTTCTGGGGTGGAGATGTTGTACTGCAGGGGCCAGTGGGATTCATAGAGAAGCATAAAGAGGGTATTTTATCAATGTGCTTCAGCAGACGAGCAGGAGGACATGGGTAGCTCAACTGGTCCTTGGGGTGGGTTTTGACACCCAGGTCCACATCGTAGGGTACATGTCCAGGAGCTCAGTAGCACCCAGGGAAGAGCAGGTGACTGGGGGTAACTGGGCTGCCTTGTCCTCTGCAGAGATGGGAACATCGGTGCACGTGCAATGAGGGCAGTGTGCATCGAGGGATGGAGTGACCAAGGGTGGAGATGCCCCCTCAAAAAAGAGGAAAGGCCCACAGGCTTTCTCATCCCTAAGGATCCCAGAATTCCCATCCCCAGCGTATGAACCATCCCAAGCACAAACCAGCACAGGAGAAGGAGGCACTTCTTGAGGGCAGCCTCTTCCAGAAGACTTGGAGCAGTGAGATGTTGCTCTGCCTCCTATTTTAAGGCACCTGAAAAAGCATAGGGTGAAGCACAGGAGATCAACCAGGATGCTCTGTGTTCATCTCCAATGGATCATCTGCCTTGCAGCCTGGAGAGCATGGCCAGAAGCAGCAGGCAATGAGGCCAGGGGTTTTTGCACACCTGGCATCCTAAAGTTGAGCATGAGGAGCAGGCAGGAGAGGGGGACAGCTCTGGGTACCGGGAGCACAGTGCTTGGGTACCAGGAGCACAGCGCCAGACTCCTGGCTGCCCCTCGGAGCCATGGCTCTGCGTTTGGAAACACGCGGCCGGAGAGCTCAGGGATGGATATAACAAAGACGTTGGGAAATAATGTGCTCTTGAGGTTTGGCACACGGCTCCGTGCATTACAGAATGTTATAAAAATACTGCTAATGGGCCAGAGAGGAGTGGAAACGCGCGGCAGAAAGGCTGCCAGAAGCCGGAGAGCGCACATGGGAGCGGGGAGGCCTTGTGTGCGAAGAGGGGAGGGAGAGAGGCATCCAGGGTGGGCGTCCATCCTTTTGCTCCCATCCCTCTGTCCCTTTCTAACCTGCTGATCTCTATCCTGGCCCAGCAGCTCTGCCCGATTGCACCTCTCCTTTTGGCCCCCTGCCCAGCTTTGGGATGCCCAAGTGATGCTGCTGGGTGGGCTGGGATGTCTGCAGTGATGGGGTCTGTGTGAGAGAGAAAATACAGCAAAATCC